GTCAGCGGAGTGATGCAGATTCAAGACGAATACAACCATTCTTGGATGTAAGGGGATTGCGCAGTTCCACCACTTGTCGCAAGGTGAAGATATGATTTATGCAACCCCAGTCAGGGCGAAAACTGGTTTGATTCTCGTGAGCCTGATTCTTACAATGATGGATCAACCTTAGGATAATAACAGAACACCGCACGAAGTTGCGGTGTATACTCAAATCACCGATGGGGAGCTGCTTTATTTTGGAAGTTTAATCTCATTGCAGATAGTTTGGAGTAGGGTTATTAGGTTAACAAAGACGGACCCGCCACTTTCTTTGAAGATAGCAAGATGCAAACCACCTGCATCAGGTGATATGTTGCACTGAAGCAGTGAGACTGCACAGTGTACTTCTGTTACCTTTGGCAGATTGATGTTGACGTTCCACTCAGGTTGATTTTTCTCTCCAACTTGTTGAGTTGATGGGGTCCAGCTGAACTGTTCTGAAAGGTTGCCAGTCAACGATTCGAGACTGTAAACGATTTGAGGTCCCATACTTTTCTGGTGTTGTTTCACTTACACCCGTCCTCTTCGAACCAGTTGATCAGGCTCAGCGAAGCAGGATGTAATTATTCTCCGCTACCAAAACTTTCTCTATTTCCGTGGTTTCTGTGATCTAGCTCTGTACGTCAATCCTTACACTTTTATTTGGTGTTTTATGGGTCTGCGCGTGCCATTCTAGTCATTTGTTACTAGCTTAGTTTCCCTTGCTACAAGCAGAGCTGCTGATTGTCACGTGATCCAGTGCTCATTGACGCGTACGTGCGAAATCGGGAAGGCGGTTCATAGATTTCTTCACCGTTCCACAGCAGTCATCCAGATCACTATCACAAACATCCCACTCGATGAGTTTTGCACGATTCACGCAGCTCAACTGGATACCGCCGAGCTACACAAAGAATATCTTGATATCTATCGTGATTGCTGTCTACCTATAATCATGATCACCTTTACTCGAACTGAACCATTGTATGTAAACCTCAGGTCATCCACACTTGTTCTCAGACAAGTAAAGCATTGTTTATTCTTGATAACTCGGGCCCTCTTCTAACTCGTTGTCGGACGCATTGTAAACGTCTCATTTTACTTGTCTACCTCGGTTCTTCGACGCCGACCCAAACCCCGCAGATGTAGCCAAACGCTGGAATCGCTGGTTTCGTACCTTCAGCACTTAACTGGAACCTGTTGAATCATCCAACCCTGACAAACTTGAGACTCTCATCCACTTTTTTTGGTCCACTGGTATACGATCACATCGCTGACCACACTGACTATGAATCTGCGGTTGAAAAGTTACAAAAATTACACGTCCACCCCAAAAAACTTATAAATGCACACCACCTACTGCAGACATATAAGCAAGAGGATGGATAAGATATTGATCAGTTTGTACGAAAACTGCAATCATTGGCCAAATAATGTGAGTTTGAATCAGTATCTGCATCTGAACATCAAGATAAATATGCACATGACGCTATAATTAATGGCCTGGCGCCTCTTCCACCCGCAAAAAACTTATAGCACCGTGCGAAATCACTCTAGACCAAGTATATCAACTTGCTAGATCCCTCGGGTTGGTTCACAAACAGCCACAATTATATGTTAGCAACGAATCTGTGTCTTGGGGCGAGATGGCCCAAGTGTTTAGAGCGCGAGTTTACTGCCGGAAGGTCCGTGGCTCGAATCCGACCTCCGCTTCTCAACTCCCCCTGTCTAGGCTTCAAAAACCTGGCAGTATCCCAGCCCTCGTACTTCCTTCGGGTGACATGGCAGCTAGGCACCGGATGGGTGCTACAGCTGAACGCATATCCTGCTCTACAATTCCGCCCACCTCGTAAAACCCCGAACCGCGTGCCGATCCGCCTAATGATTCTGTAATATCCGTTCAAACATGCCATTTGTGTGGTTATGATAGACATCCTCGTTTAAAGTGCCCCGCTCGCAAAGTCATTTGTAATATTTGCGGTAAACGCGGTCACCTCCACCGCGTGTGCTGTTCGAAAAATACCAAGAAGTTCCATACAAATTGTACAATGAAGCTTACTTTGTCGTCGTCAATCGTTGCAGCAGCATCTACCTACCTGACATCGCTCTGCGTTCTCTAGTCGATACAAGAAGTTCTTGTAGTTTCCTTGGTTCCACATGTTTGGAAAATTCATCCAACTTCCTCAGTCGCTACAATGACGTCTCCATCATTATCCTGTCGAACGATCGGCTACACCTGTGTTTCCATCCGAAACAGAGGTACATCATACAATAAATTGAAGTTTTTTGTGATGTGAAACCTTTGCATCGTCGCTCTACTCGGGCATAAATTCCTGGGTCTACATGGCAACATAAAAATTTCGTTCGGCGGGGATCGTAATGCGTTCATCATCTGCGGACTAAAGCAGTAAACTTCGAATTGCCATCATTTTCGCCGACTTAGTCTCAGGCTGAAAGCTCGTTGCCACCTCTGCCTCTCGACCTCCCCTGTCTAGACTCGGGCCACTTAGCTTGGTCCCAGCCCTGGTGCTTCCTTTGGGTGACATGGATCTATGCACCGAAAGGTTGTTACAGCTGAACGATTATTATTATTCAAGCCGAGATCTTCCGGATGATGAATTCATTTGCGTCAAATTTGATCACTTTTGCAACAAAGCACGATCGAGTCGTCACCAATAGTGTCAATCACAAACGTTGGACGGTTGTCGACTACAGCCAAACGATCAGCCTGTTCACACAGCTGGACATCAGTGTTCAACACCGATGCTTCACTGCTGTACAACCATGACTTATTTGAAAGCCTCATTGTAAAGAAAAGAGTAAAGGTGGACGGGGGAGGGACTTAGTGCTAGCTTACCACAATCATTCCGAGATGCCTACACCTCCAGACGTTCACTCAGGTAATCTGGATAGACACACAGCTGGACGCTTACTCTCTGTCACGCCTGGACGAAGTGACTGAGACGCTTTCACACTATGAGGTCTTAAGTAAATTAAATCCCTTGTCTGTCTTCCATCAAGTCCCGATCTGAGCATGCAAGAAGCCTTCTACAGGATTTTTCAGTTTCCCCGAATACCCTTCGGTGTCACAGACAGTGTAGCATGTTTTCAGAGAACTAATAACAATGTAATCGAGAACCCACATGCCTACGTATACAATGTGGCACTACCTGAGAGGAACACTACCTCACTCCAATCGTTTTTCAAAATTATGAGGAAGTGTGAAGTTACACTAAGTGATAACAAGACCATCACTGCTTCAAAAGTTATCCTCCTCCTAAGTTATAAAGTCTCACAGGGTATCATATGGTCCGCCCCTAAACGCATGGAACCTGACATCAGCCACCTTCTCCGCGTACTACCACAGAAATGCAACGTGTCATCCGTACGTTTGCATATTATGCCCATTGGACATCGTTTTCCGAAAAATCAACAAACCGACAAAGTAAAATATTCCCTCTACCTTCTGACGTCGAATGGGCCTTCGAGAACCTAAAAAGCGAACGAGAAAATGGTATGCTAATTACAGTCGACGATAACGAGCCTCAGGTGTTGCTGTAGCCGCATCTCACAATCATCGACTAGCGGTCTTTTTCTCGAAGACATTCAATCTTACGGGGGAAAATCCTTCTGTCATCGAATCCACCAGGAAGTGGCTGCACTATCTACTCGGGAGACCCTTGGTCACCTTAATGTACGACAGTGGTCAGAAGAGTAAAGTGGAGAACGACAAAATACAGCGTTGGCATAGTACAAACTGAAGGCAAAATCCTGGGGAAAGCCCATTTTTCGAAAAACGAAATATGATGCCACAGCGTACTAATCGGCGTATTGCAGTTTGCATCCAATTGTGATATCCCCTATACAAATTCTAGTCTGTTCTGAAATGCACGTTGTCTGCTCTAAATCAGCTATGAATCAGGGTAACCAACCATGGTAGACACCGCATCATAGTAGAAGACCAGAGCAGAACCGGGCTGCGTGGATGACTTCCGCAAAACGATTCAAGAATCACATGAACCTCAAGATGTGGAAAAAGTCGAGAAACGCTAAGCACCGAATCAATCGCAGTGTGGTCGAAATTAATGGGTTACGTAATGTAATACCTATACATATTTCGCCCTGCGGCTTACGTATACTGCTTGCTGACAATCCACTTAGTCGTTGGTTTGCTTACTGAGTTTGGCAGCTCGGTTGGAAACAGCTGGTTGCCAGCCGATGTTACCTTGTCTGTACGCTGTTGGTTTCGGTGCTTGCGTTTACTTAGGCTATCTATTGGATCCGTAACCAATGGCCCACCTGTGCTGCTCATATCCCGTTACATTACCGAAGAAGTTTAGCCTTACAGTCGCACGAAATCGTTGTATACCTCGCGTTACCAACCAAATGTTCACTGATTTACTGACGCATACTCTTCGGGAGAAAACGGACGCCTGGTCGCGCTACAGGCAAGCAGAACGGACAAATTCTTGTCACAGCTGAGAAGCATTTTGGACAAAAATGCCCCAAAAGTTGTTCCCTTACCCAAGGTATGAAGTTGTTCCATGGGTGCTAAACATCAATGCAGGTTTCAAGGGACAAGTCGAAATTGATGCACCTAGCAGTGTGCTTGTTATCGCAATAATCTCTTGTTATTGATCTGTACATTAAAAGTACTCAACCCTGATTTTCTAGGGTTGCTTGCAGAGCTGTGAAAAGGACATTTCCTTTGTTGCACGTGAGTGTTCCCAAGGAAGAAGTTTCGCTAGTTTGTTGCGTAAACGAGATTGGTACGGTTTTCGCTTGCTGTACAGTCCTCGGATTTTGGTTCACCGTATCACTCCTTAAAACTTTTTCTACTTTTAGAGGCGTTTTTTGAAATGAATGGATTTCCACATTCAAAATATACCCGTTTCCTTTCCATACAAGCCCTATGGTTGCCAATTGTCTTGTATGAACAGGGTATGTCAACCGTTTCGTTTCGAAATTTCAGTATATAGGTAATCGAGGCACTTGAATCTGGAAGGAACTGCCTTATTGAGTCTCCCACGGGAACGGGGAAAACTCTTTCGCTGCTCTGCTCGTCTCTCGCTTGGCTGAATAAGAGAATAGGTAAAGTAAACCACTACTAATTACTTTTTTGCTTCGCTAGTCGATGTCGAGCTGGATAGATCAAGTGAGTTCGACTCTAGTGTGAATTACTAAACAACTGCGCTGAAGATAACTGTGATCAACTTCGTTCTGAGCAACACGGTGAAGTTGAGAGTAAGTCCACAAACGGTCTGATCTATTCCATATTGCCTTATCCTGCTGTCAAGCATCATTTACTAGTTTGATGTGTAGTTTGGATGAACTATGCTGTCCTCATAAATAGTGTGAGGAAATGATTCAAAGCTTTTCATTGGTTTCTATCCATTCATCTGTTTTCAGAGATAAGACAGTGCCATAAGATCTGACGGAAGAAAGGCACGTACTTTATGCTGGAACCGACTGTCCTGTCCCCTGCACCTGTAGTTATGAGCACTTTGTGCAGTGCTCCAGCTTTGCTCGAAATTTTCACTTCAGTTTGTAGTTCCATGGTCGCTCCAATGACTTGTATATGGTACTGGATCAACACATCTGCGAATTTTGGAAATTCCTCCTGGTGTGTATTGTCTGATTGCAACAGCCTGATATCTATGCTACGTCTATTACTTTGCTTTTTCATGCAAACCCCTGACCCCACAATTCGTGGGTAGCATTGGTTGCAACTTTCTACTCCGTCCTATCGATTGACAACCACAGTAGGATCCCTCACTGGAGTGCATGCCTGTTTGGTAATTCCTTCTTTGGACTGCTTCTGTTTATGCGCTCAAGCACAATCACCAGCCGCAGTCCACCGAGTCTGCTTAAATTTACAGAAATACTCAGTATTTTCATTTTGTCAGTTCGATCAGCACTAGGTTGAAATCATAAATGTGTCGACTTTGCCATGTGGTCTTTGCCCACCTTACATCTACATTTACATTTCATCAAACAGTTGATGATACTTTGCTCCGAGAGAAACCCTTCTCCATGGTTTCTGCGTCTGATCAAGCGGGAAATGATTCAGAGTGAGTTCCTGGCATTATTGTTCGCCTATCTTTCACATAGGTCCATTCTGCCCAAAGTATACTACTGCACACGAACGCACAAGCAGATTGCCCAAATTGTTCGCGAGCTCCGTAAAACGAAATATCGGAAGGCCAAGTATGCTTTTTATGCTTTTCGAATACGTGTTCCAGAATGACCATACTGAGTAGTCGCCAACACACGTGTATCAATCCTGCAGTTAAGAAGGCTTTAAGTATCACCGAAGCCTGCCAGAATTTGTTGCTGGTAAGCCTCGCTTCGACTCATGCCACGGGTTAACTAACCTGGACCACAGAATGGATTTTGTGAATTTGATCAGCCACGTAAAAAGAGTGATTTGGTTCGAACCATAAATAGTTTGGACTCGAAAGGACCATGGGACTTAGAGGACCTTGTAGAATCCTTATCCCAGGTAAGGGCTGTACTTACTGTACTGTTTTTAACAGAATGTTCCACTTCCATTTTCCAGGTCCCGTCTTGCCCGTATTTTTGTTCCAGAAGGCTGGCTAAGACAGCCGATATAGTATTTTGTCCATACAGTTACTTGTTGGATCCGATTAATCGCTCGGCTGTAAGTTTTCAAACAGCAAGTTACCGATGTCGTATTTCAGACCAACTTAGATCTCAAGGGTCACGTGGTTATATTGGACGAAGCGCATAATATCGAAGACGCTTCGCGGGAGGCTGCTTCTTTCAAAATTACGGAGCATCAGCTGATAACCACGAAGGATGATTTGGGAAATCTATGTACTTCATTAAGTCCTTTCAACTTTCGAGCATCTGTCTTCCATTTCAGTACGGAAAAACATTGAACCTGAATCATGCACGGATCTGATTACAATGGTGAGGCTACGTGGAGTACGAAACTGCTCTTTTTCCATAGTGATGGCTTCTGTCGACCTTGCACGAAAATGACTCGTTTTCACAAAAATGTTTGCCTCAGTTTTGCCATCTGACAGCGACGATATAGGGACCAAGCGAATGGACAAGTGGGTTTAAATGTTGGGTTTCTGGGGAGATGAATGAGAAGTAAAGTGCTCAGGTAACGCCTCATGGGCAAATTCACGAGGTCATCGTCAACCCATGGAATAACCCTGTTTCTGCAGCTGCCTTGAAAGCTATATTTGTTCGCATAAATTGTTATAAGACAATGGACTCAGAACGCCGTACGCTACGGCTTTCAGCATCTTTTGGACACTGATCGCATTCAGCTAGTCCCTCGCTATATAGGGGCTGTCATATCACAATTTATTCCGCTGTTTGATAGCCCAGGTAAGCTCATATAAGCTTAGATCAATCTTCCATTTTTTGGAGAAATCACGTACGGGAAACTCTGGTTTGGTATTCTATCGATTTTGCCAGTCTATATAGCCTCAGCCCTCGATTAGCAAGCACTTAAGCTGCTGCGGCTCTGTTGGCTTGATTGATTACTTACCGGAAGGTCCGTGGTTCGAACACGACTTCTGCCTCTCGACTTCCCCTGTCTGGGCTTGGCAACCTGGCAGTATCCCAGCCCTCATACTTCCTTCGGGTGGCATGGTAGGTAGGCACCAATAGGGGGTTGTAGCTGAGCGATTATTACGATGGCTAGTTTCAAGGTGAAAAACACCTGGAGCGCTGTAAGGACGTTTCTCTTGAAATCTTCGAATGACTGATAGCGTTGGCACGTGACGCTCGCTGAATTCAGAAGTGACCCCCTTCCCTCAATAAAAACAACTCTGACCACTGTAAAGGTCATTTTCTCGCCTTCAGGTTCATGGTCTTGTGTGTTAAGAGAGCAGCTGTCGATCGCCGAAAACTGCGACAGCGCATAACTGGTTTCACTCTTCGTGGGGCTCATCAGGAAGATGTAGTCCTCGAGTTTTTCCCAACCTTATATTCAACTTGTACCCAAACTGGACTGATTTCGACAAATTTATCAATCTGGTTTTCACAGGGGGGCTCTACTGAATCTCTCGTTAATTACATTCTTCGACTGAATGTGCTGCACAAAAGCCTCATGTTTCAGTTGTTACGGTATTCGAGATATTGCGGCATATTTTCATAAAGGAAACTACTCACAAGGCTGACGGGAACCTGGAACTGTGCCTATCTGATAAGCTCAAAGAAGGGTGAAACCGATCGTGGGCGGTCGAAAAGTTTTCAGCAACCTTGTGAGTAGTGTATTACGTCTGTGGTGCTTTAGTCTTAGTCAGTTATCCATCCCTACGAACTTTTCATATATCTTGGAAAGAAAAGGGTCCTAGAACTGAAAGAATGCGTTTCAGGACGTTACGAGGGCCATTCTGTAGAAATTTCATCTGCAGACATCGTTGCGCTCCCATAATGCTTTTAGGATCATTTGTGTGGTTGTTCGGTTCGTTTTCAGTGGTTCTTCCTTTTTGACCCGCATTAGCTGGAAGGCATGCTTCGAGTAATGCAGCTTACGCGCACCCGCCTCGTTCATGCTGGCGAGTCTGCTCAACCGACCCAAGTGTGGACTGGTCAAGAAATATCAGGGATTCTTTCGACTGTCGGACTGGGGCCAGAAAAAGTTACAAGAATGGAGGTAGGTCATTTTTCAAGACTGCTAGGCAACGAATCTTTTACACTCTTAGATACATAGGTAGACTACGGATTACCGTAAATTGTGTTGTTTTCACGCTTGTTCACTGCAAATACAGGTATCCCCTTCTAAAGAAGCTAGCAACTGTCAAGTGGGGATTCGCAGGCTATTAGGCAATCAAAATCGTGGTCTCACTAACGCCATTCGTGTTGATCGTCGATAGACATAGTTTGATTTGTCCTGATTACCCTACCTCCCTCCGTCCTTGCATTTGGTTGACCTAAACCAACAACCAACTGCATAACCATGAACGTTGTATTGAGCCACTCAAATATTCAATTGTGGTTTTGATAGTGCGCAAAAATACCAATACTATTATCGTGGTTTTCACAAAAATGTTTGCCTCAGTTTTGCCATCTGACAGCGACGATATAGGGACCAAGCGAATGGACAAGTGGGTTTAAATGTTGGGTTTCTGGGGAGATGAATGAGAAGTAAAGTGCTCAGGTAACGCCTCATGGGCAAATTCACGAGGTCATCGTCAACCCATGGAATAACCCTGTTTCTGCAGCTGCCTTGAAAGCTATATTTGTTCGCATAAATTGTTATAAGACAATGGACTCAGAACGCCGTACGCTACGGCTTTCAGCATCTTTTGGACACTGATCGCATTCAGCTAGTCCCTCGCTATATAGGGGCTGTCATATCACAATTTATTCCGCTGTTTGATAGCCCAGGTAAGCTCATATAAGCTTAGATCAATCTTCCATTTTTTGGAGAAATCACGTACGGGAAACTCTGGTTTGGTATTCTATCGATTTTGCCAGTCTATATAGCCTCAGCCCTCGATTAGCAAGCACTTAAGCTGCTGCGGCTCTGTTGGCTTGATTGATTACTTACCGGAAGGTCCGTGGTTCGAACACGACTTCTGCCTCTCGACTTCCCCTGTCTGGGCTTGGCAACCTGGCAGTATCCCAGCCCTCATACTTCCTTCGGGTGGCATGGTAGGTAGGCACCAATAGGGGGTTGTAGCTGAGCGATTATTACGATGGCTAGTTTCAAGGTGAAAAACACCTGGAGCGCTGTAAGGACGTTTCTCTTGAAATCTTCGAATGACTGATAGCGTTGGCACGTGACGCTCGCTGAATTCAGAAGTGACCCCCTTCCCTCAATAAAAACAACTCTGACCACTGTAAAGGTCATTTTCTCGCCTTCAGGTTCATGGTCTTGTGTGTTAAGAGAGCAGCTGTCGATCGCCGAAAACTGCGACAGCGCATAACTGGTTTCACTCTTCGTGGGGCTCATCAGGAAGATGTAGTCCTCGAGTTTTTCCCAACCTTATATTCAACTTGTACCCAAACTGGACTGATTTCGACAAATTTATCAATCTGGTTTTCACAGGGGGGCTCTACTGAATCTCTCGTTAATTACATTCTTCGACTGAATGTGCTGCACAAAAGCCTCATGTTTCAGTTGTTACGGTATTCGAGATATTGCGGCATATTTTCATAAAGGAAACTACTCACAAGGCTGACGGGAACCTGGAACTGTGCCTATCTGATAAGCTCAAAGAAGGGTGAAACCGATCGTGGGCGGTCGAAAAGTTTTCAGCAACCTTGTGAGTAGTGTATTACGTCTGTGGTGCTTTAGTCTTAGTCAGTTATCCATCCCTACGAACTTTTCATATATCTTGGAAAGAAAAGGGTCCTAGAACTGAAAGAATGCGTTTCAGGACGTTACGAGGGCCATTCTGTAGAAATTTCATCTGCAGACATCGTTGCGCTCCCATAATGCTTTTAGGATCATTTGTGTGGTTGTTCGGTTCGTTTTCAGTGGTTCTTCCTTTTTGACCCGCATTAGCTGGAAGGCATGCTTCGAGTAATGCAGCTTACGCGCACCCGCCTCGTTCATGCTGGCGAGTCTGCTCAACCGACCCAAGTGTGGACTGGTCAAGAAATATCAGGGATTCTTTCGACTGTCGGACTGGGGCCAGAAAAAGTTACAAGAATGGAGGTAGGTCATTTTTCAAGACTGCTAGGCAACGAATCTTTTACACTCTTAGATACATAGGTAGACTACGGATTACCGTAAATTGTGTTGTTTTCACGCTTGTTCACTGCAAATACAGGTATCCCCTTCTAAAGAAGCTAGCAACTGTCAAGTGGGGATTCGCAGGCTATTAGGCAATCAAAATCGTGGTCTCACTAACGCCATTCGTGTTGATCGTCGATAGACATAGTTTGATTTGTCCTGATTACCCTACCTCCCTCCGTCCTTGCATTTGGTTGACCTAAACCAACAACCAACTGCATAACCATGAACGTTGTATTGAGCCACTCAAATATTCAATTGTGGTTTTGATAGTGCGCAAAAATACCAATACTATTATCGTGTATTTTTGAAGAGCACGGTCACAAACATAAAAGGTAAATGCAAGCAATAGATATGGGAAGGTTACAGAAGAATATCAGATAAAGCAGGGGCAGCGTCCCATTCGAAGTCGTGTCACCAACAGTTCCAGTCGGACAAGATGAATCCCAACGCATGTAAGAATGTTTGATATAGAGAATCGCGTGGAAAGACCAGTAACCGAAGAAGGGACAAACAAAGTGAAGGCTCTTCAAGACGCGGTAAGCGCCAGTATAGATAAGACTCTCACACCAGGCACAAAGTGTCCGTCATACTGGGTCAGGTGTGAAGTCAATGGTAAGGATGAACACTCCATGTGCCACGCATAAAAGTGTACTACGTACGCAGAGAGCCCACAATGCAAGCAAACACAAGTCACTGACTGTGAGGCTGGGAATTCCCAGTTCAGTAAGATCCTGGCAGATTGAGGAAAGCAGATCCCTCGATAAGAAACCATCATCGGTTGGTGGACCAAAAAATGTACATCACAATCGATTACATGTAGGGCTGAGATTATGGTGAGGGAACATTCATCAGCACCATACTTCTAATTATTCCACACGGCTACTCCGCGCCCATCCGAGACTGTGCTTCTATCACAGTTGATCGGTGCTTCCCAACAGTGATTAGATCAGGCTTGATGAAAAACGTTGACACAGATGCTTTCAGCTCCTAGTAAACGGTGTAACTCGATCGATGGAGACATCTCGCGAGTTCCCTTGCAACCCGATAATGACGAGCACATCTACCATCATGTGTGATCCAGCAGGACTGCAAAATATGCAGTAAACTCTCCCGTTGGCCGCAGTTTCCACGACAGAAGGTCATGTGGCTAAAACGACCACGCCGGGTGCTTCTAACTCTCGTTCTAAGCAGGTTGCATCGAAGCTGGATACCGCAGATAAATATCCGGGAAACACTCGTTCTGGAAACTACAGCCATCGATACCACAGAGGCGAAGCCATTAACTCTCGTGAACCGCGATCATCAACGCTGTTGTGCAGACTAACGACCCTAGCAGCCACCAGCTCTTCCTTGGTGTGTGCGTATGCACCTTGCACTCGGGTCGGAAGACTGAAATTCCGAACTCTCATACCAAATACTGAATCATTGACCACATTGCGCAGTACTCAGCACTGAATAGACAGGAGCTTCCCCGTACGCGCTCTCCGCTGCATCGGGATAGTTGCACTCAGACTTTGGATACCAAGTCCCCCATGTTGTCTAACGGCGTGGATGTAGCTGACTGGGGTGTCTTTCGGTAGACGTACCTGGCCACAACTAGATTGCTTGATGTAGTTGTCCAACCTTTGGAGCATATTTCGGTGGACTTGACCGAGCATGAGCGAATATGTCAGCCTCTGTATCAGGTAGTTCCTTGTGATCTCCATTATTTGATACGGCTTCAATGGGGCACGCGTGAAGAAGTTTGAGCAGCTGCTGTTGGTGGTTGCAGACTCTCTTGCCCTTTGAATTAAGGATGTTGCCCAAATACGTCACCGTGTTTGTTGGACTCAGAGGAGTGATGAGTTCCTCGTCGAAGCAAAATCGTTCAACTGAGACTGCTGTCGCCCGATGTTCTCTGTCCCCCAAACATCGCTTTCGTCCTCCGGGTGTTGCTTTTCATACCAGCTCCTCTTAACTCCACCGCAGAAGTCTCAAGCTTCTCTTTAAGGCGGGTCTGACTTTCTGCATACACGATTCAGTCGTCAGCGAAGGCAAATCCATCCATTAAGATTTCACGGAACAGGTATCCTAGTAGCGGCATCTAAAAACCTCATCCATTGCCTCACACCTTTGTGGCAGTGAACCTCGGAATTGGGGAAAACTGCTACTACATTCTCATAGGACTGTGCCATGTTTCGAACTAGAGTCCACGTTGCTCCAAACGCTTTGGCAGACCTGACAATATTGTCATGCGAAACAGAATCGAACGCTTTTGAGATGTCAACACATGCCAAGTTGAAGTTAGAAGCAGTCGCTGAAGATGACGAAGCAGGGCGCGTAACAGCGATATGGCCTCCAAACAACCATCTCGATGTAGAAATTCAAACAGGAGTGAGGTAGGTTGAAGTCTACGGCTCCAGCTCCATTGTGAAAGCATCGGATAAGAATGACTGACTCGGTTTTGACGCTCACGGTCGATCGACCAGAAAAATACTGATCCAGTCTTGCAACCAGCGCTGTGTGTGTTACAAGACGGATACAAATCGTTAGTCAGGCGCAAGAGTGATTGTGACTCTTGTTGTGATCAACTGACACCGGAATTCTTCACTCGGCTAGGCTTATCTGCGTTATGCTGTGTGGGGTTTCCTGCCGGTGGTGTTGACTCAAACCAATCTTTGTCGGAAAAAGGCTGGACCAACGGCGCAGGCCAGCTGGGCAATCACGTTCGTTTCAACACTTTCATGGACCTGAACTCGACTTTGGGCTACCAAGCCAGCATTCAGTTTGCAGCACTTGCAACATTCCTCACACGTGAGTCCCACGAGTCCCTTCTGCATATTGGTTGGAACTGCTGCGAAGGCGCCAGATGATTGGTATTGTACATTGTCAAAGTAACCGGCACATTGAAACCTGTGTTTAGCCTTATCTGGAGTTTCTGAACTCTTGGTTCACCCAGACTGACGTCCAGGCTACCTAGTCGGTACCACGAGGAGATGACTCGTTGCGCCGGCTACTACTACCGCTCCCACTACCACTACGCGAAACTCTTGTTGTACCTCATCTACTTGATTTCACCAATCGTGACTGGATTTCATTTTGCAACGACCTTGAGCTTTCAAATAAGATTTCCTGTAAGTGGAGGCAGACTGCACTGTACAGCTGTTTCATCCTTATTCGAAATCATCAGCGGTGTGCATCTCACGAAACTTCATGAAGTCCATTGTTCGAACCACTACCCTGGAGGTCTCGAGTTCGAAACCCCTTGATATTTTGTAAGATGCGTACTGCCACTGATTCACAATTATAATAAAACAGATACATGGCTTTTCAGCATAGAGAGCTTCACTTACAGGACAAAATCTCAGTTGGGACTTTCCAAATCTCATACTGCCAACCACCTTGAGTTTGTTTTTCCATATCTTATACTTTGTTGTCTTCCGAGATGGCGTACCGCAAATTGTCCGCGTACACATCAGACAGCACTGAATGGACAGATCGAAATGGCCGTCCTGAGGGAACTGAACAACCGAAGCTAGCCTCAAGCAGTCTTCATTTGTTTGAAGCACTATTCGTCGCCCTACGTTACATGTTCAGGTAAGGAACTTTTACTTCGTTTTGGAGCTCGTAAAAATAGGCCAACATTCAACGTGATACTTGTCAGACATGTCATCAGCCAACATATTTTAATGCACAACACGTTTGAGACATCACGAACAGCCGCGATGAGTCGAAAAGATCTCTGTTTTCGAGAAATGCATTCATTCGCAAATCAATTTGGTTTTCACGAGAGACTCAACTGAATCTCTCGTTTATGGTATTCTACAACTGAAAATATACTGCGATATCTCGAATATCGTGCCAACTGAAACATGAGGCGGCCTGTGTGCAGCACTTTCAGTTGTAGAATATCACAAACGAGAGATTCAGTTGAGTCTTTCGTGAAAACCAAATTGATTTGCAAATTAGTGTACTTCTCGAAAACAGTGCAATTTGGGTTCAAGTAGAACATAAGGTTGACGGAAACTCGGAGACTGCACCTACCTGATTAGCCCCAAGAAGGGCGAAACCTGTCGTGGGCTGTCGAAGAGTTTTCAGAAACCCTGTGAGTAGTTTCCTTTATGAAAAAAAATTCTGTTGTTTTCTGCATAGCCATTTGCTCACCGCCTTGCTTGCATCGCTTTACTGTAATAAGCTTTGACCCTAGAGCGGAATGTTTCTATAGCGAATGTCTTACCTTTCACAGAGATGATTCGAAACATTTGGCTGACTACCGATTTGTTCTAATGGAGACAATCAACTATGAGCGACAAGCAACTGATTCCTCGGCAGAAAAGGATAATTCGTTGAACTCGTGGCTCAGCAAGAGGTCTGCTAAGGTAATGTTCCCTTACTTCGTCCTCACTCTGGCATAATCATATCATGGATATAATATAATCATATATAATGATTAATGGATGAAGTTAAAATCAGGGAAATGCTGTCCATCAAATTTCGGAGGCGTGTCTGCCATGGTTGGCTAGAGTGTGCGGAGATTGATCATGTGCCTGTTGGTCCATTCGACGAGGCAATTGACTGACTTGCAAATGTCTCGTCACCATACGAGGTGACATCATCCGTGCGCAGTTAGGGGTGTGGACTTATGATGTACCCTCGTATGGTGGCGAAATGTTTGCAAGCCAGTTGCAAAGCTCGGCGAACAGACCAACTGCCACCTGATCAAGGCTAAGGAGTGGGTTGGCTAAGTGGCTAGATCGCGAATTTACTGACCGGAAGGTCTGTTGTTCAAACCCGAACTCTGCATCTCGACTTCCCCTGTCTAGGCTTGGGCACCCTGGCAGTATCCCAGCCGTCGTGCTTCCTTCTTGTGGCATGGCAGTTAGGCACCGAAAGGGTGTTACAGCTGAACGTTTTTTTCCAACCACCAGTGAACTCATCCGACCAACTAGCATAATCATATCATGGATATAATATAATCATATATAATGATTAATGGATGAAGTTAAAATCAGGGAAATGCTGTCCATCAAATTTCGGAGGCGTGTCTGCCATGGTTGGCTAGAGTGTGCGGAGATTGATCATGTGCCTGTTGGTCCATTCGACGAGCTTGGCAATTGACTTGCAAATGTCTCGTCACCATACGAGGTGACATCATCCGTGCGCAGTTAGGGGTGTGGACTTATGATGTACCCTCGTATGGTGGCGAAATGTTTGCAAGCCAGTTGCAAAGCTCGGCGAACAGACCAACTGCCACCTGATCAAGGCTAAGGAGTGGGTTGGCTAAGTGGCTAGATCGCGAATTTACTGACCGGAAGGTCTGTTGTTCAAACCCGAACTCTGCATCTCGACTTCCCCTGTCTAGGCTTGGGCACCCTGGCAGTATCCCAGCCGTCGTGCTTCCTTCTTGTGGCATGGCAGTTAGGCACCGAAAGGGTGTTACAGCTGAACGTTTTTTTCCAACCACCAGTGAACTCATCCGACCAACTAATGACACATTACCAGCAGAAAAACTCGTGATCCCAAATATAGCTTTTGTACGCATTGTTCAGTTCGAAACAGCAATAGTTTGAAATAATTAATATGTTGGTAGTTACTGTTGATACCCAACTGTCTTACGTCCATGTTGTATAAGAGGTACATTTTTCAAGCGCAACCCCCGGGAGAATGGTGTCTACCGGGAAAACCCCGTGGTGCTTTAAAATGTTCACAGCCGTAGAATATGACCCATTAGTAGCGCTTCTGTCTCAGCTTGTGTCACTCTACACACCATCCATCACTAATGAAATATAATCCTTAGTCAAGTAGGTCACTTCGGCACTGAATCTGTTGTCAGTGATGGTGATGGCTCAGCCAATAGGGCTGATTTAACATCCACATGGTTGGGCTTTTATCAAGAGTTTCAGCTCTTGTCAACCACTTTTGAGCTGTTATATAAACAAACCATAAGACTACTTACTTAAACTGTGTATTCAGTTGTCAGTCGTCATTTCGAGTGCACATCAATGAAGCCGAACGTGGTGTTCAAAAATATTGGCCAGCCATAGCTAATCAGGACTCGATTGCTACGCCGGGTGACGTTCGGGTTACCTAAGTCCCTCTTGGGAGTAGAGGTTAAATTGCGGGCATTTGACAGTCGCCTCGGCCTCTTGGTATTCTGCTCATCCATTCAGTGTTACATTTCTCGAGACAAATTTGTCTCCGTAGACCGGGGGGACAGATTTCGTGTACGAGATTGGGGAGTAAAGCTGCGTAGCTATGTTTCACATTGACTGTTGTCGTTATTAACCTTGTGTTTATTTATCTTTTCATCATATGAGGCGAGATGACTCTGGTTAGAGCGCCAATTTACTGACCGGGAGGTCCGTGGTTCGAACCCGACCTCTGCCTCTCGACTTTCCCTGTCTAGGCTTGGGCAACGTGGCACTCTCAGCTTTCGTGCTTCCTGTTGGCATGGCAGTTAGGCACCGAAAGGATGCTACAACTGAATGATTTTCATATACTCTATATTGGCCAGCATTCTGCATAAAATTCTTTCGAATGTTTTCCTTACGAACTTGTTCCTGGTCTTTTCTCACCTGCTGTATTAGTCGCGATATGTGGAGGCCCGTGAGTTGAGTCTCAATTTTTGGTGCCTCAATCCTTCGGTCGTATTTTCCGATCTCGCCTCTGAGGTCCGCTGCTTGATTCTGGTGAGTGGAACCCTATCGCCGCTTGAAGCACTAGAAGCAGAGCTGGGTGTGGCATTCCCTATTCGATTGGAAGCCGCTCACGTCATTCCCAAGGATCGTCTGCTTGTGAGTACTTTGTCCCACGGTCCTGGGGGCACTCGTCTATGTGCCACCTTCCAAAACCAAAACACATTCGGCTTTCAGGACGAGCTGGGCAGTCTTCTACTTCAGGCCTGTCGACTGGTACCAGGCGGTGTCTTGTGCTTCCTTCCTTCCTACAGTCTCCTAGACAAGTTGGTTCAGCGCTGGAAAGTGGGTATCTTGTTGCGTTGTATTACGTGTCATTTCTCTCTTCCAATCCATGCACTCCATTCCGAGCTAGTGATGTGCTATCTTACGCATAATTCGTTGCATAGTAGACTGTTACGTGATTGATCTCGACTAGACATTCACACAAATCTCCAGAACTAAAACTAAGAAATGATAAGGTATTTTCTCTTGAAAAGAGGCCGATCCATGAACTGGATGATCTCTTCGAGATTTTATTGAATGTTTCCTTGAAGCGATCGTCTCCTAAATCATTCTAAGGACGTATTTTGAGATGTGCTGTCATCTGATAGGAGACGAAACCAACAGTACTATTAACCTTGTGTGCATCCAATTATCGAATTGCTTGTAAAATGTGCTATCGGAACAATCCCAGGTCAAATGTGTTATCCGATTGTTTGGCCAACATTTTGCCTTCGTCTGCCCCACTACAACCGTCCGGTGGGTTTCACTAACACTGACAATCCATTGGATAAATAGTACTGGTTGTACACAATGCGCACAAAGCTATAAACAGTCGTGGATGTCGCGATTTGCAGTGGACAAACCGTCCGATTATAAATCGGGGAGGGCGCATGCTTTCCGTCTACGCCAACGTGATGTGTCTCAGTGTAGGCAAATCCCTTTGAGTAGCTGGGCTTCCTGTGATCCAACTACCTCTTTATCACAAGTGTTGCCATTTTGAGTCATCCAAAATATAAATGAGTAATCTGATTAGAAAAAGCTGATCTCTGCGTTGACAGGTAACTGATTGTTTCTTCAGGTAGTCTTGTTGAGCGAATCTTGGGTAATTATCACCTCGAGTTGAAACACTGGTACACTTCTTCGCACCTCTCATAACACAAATGAGCCTGTCAGGGCGGAAAGCTGTCTTATTTTGTATGATCGAACCCGGTCACTTACAAAAGAAGCTATAAGTTGTCTGTTGAGGCGGGTTTGTCAGACAACTGTGATGGCCAGTACGGCGAAATCATCTCTCGGGGGCGAATACTTATCGTACCAGCATCAATAGTTCCTTCGCAGGTGGAAGGGGGCGACCTTAGTTCATTCCTAGAATGGCTTTTTTAGAACGGCTATTTATCTTTAAAAACTTCTCTATGGCTGTTTGTCTCATTTTTAGGTAATTTTTCAACCTAATCGACTGTTCGAGTAAGGTCAACACCTAGTCTAATTTACTAGGACGGGTCAAATACCAACGTGTCTGTGATTTTCGACCCTAACTGCCTCTGCTCTTTGACTCTGCCAGCTTGTTTCTCTTTAGTTGCTAATAGGTTCATCATATACCTCGTTACCTTGCTCAAACTGATTAGCAACTGTTGCAATTCAAGCTAGTGAGATTATCACTCAACAACTCACGATACCTTTGGTACTCCATAGCTAATATTATTTGTATGTTTATGCTTGGAATTAGATATTTGTAAATGTGAACGACGCCAAAAAACGTTTGGTGAGGCTCACTTATCATAATGTGCATTCGTGACTAAACAGAGCTCAGTAAACTGGAACAAAAAGGATGGTTTTGGTAATGGGTCAATATTCCACTGTATTACCAAAGAATGTTGTGTTTGATTCTGGCATGACTCTGTCTAGGTCCTACCAAAAAAGCTGTCGACGTTATCACCTGGAAGACTGCGTTCAGAAGGTAACTGTCTATCTGGCAGCCCGGCATAACTGGGTCAGGTGCTGATATCCTGTTCATTCAGCGGTCGTTGCGTACTAAAACCTGCCACCAACCACAAAGTCTGCTCTACCAGTTTAACACTGGGATTGTTCTGAATGACGCTGACTGTGTTTGGATGTTTCTCATGGTGAAGGTAATCCAAATGCACGATTTTTATCGGTTTATCGTTGCCGGGATCTTGCACTGAAAATGTTCATAAACTGAGGAAAGGTTTTTAGAGGGGATACACCACACTTTGCAAGGTAAAATGTCTTTATCGTCCTTAGATGTTTCTCGATAACCATTCCTTCGGACTGAGGACACTCCTGGTCAAAGTGTGCTCTATGTATTTTGGACATTACCCAACTATTGATTTGTGACCACCAGGAACGACATAACTCTTCTTGTGAGAATACATTCAAGTCCGCTAAATTCACCTTCGTCGGGTACTTTCATGGATCTCTTACTATTGAGACTCTACCTATTTATGGTGAAGCATTAGGTCAGTAGGTGGTATCACTCTATCCGACATTTTTCTGTGGATTGTGAGGCGTTTTTAGTCCACACTCCTAAGGATGTATAGAAGTTTTGTTACCATTATGGTTGCAACTGGCATAAGTCACAGTGTCTCAAACAGTTATCCGTCCATTCATTTCTTCTTCAACTTTCGTTTCTTTACACACCATGGATGGTATTTCTTATTGCTTACTTCAATTTCTTCAAAGGTGATGGTAGGCGGATTTCAGGTGAAGCATTTTGCCGTCAGCACCATACACCCATATTTGTCGACGGTTTGTATGCATTTTACGGTTGTGTTGTCTGGTGCCTTTTGTGTGGTCTTACTATCCGATAAAAAAAATCAATATTTCCTTTTCGAAAAGGTACAGTGAGATTGTCCAGGCTGGTGCTGGGTGATGTTAACGAAAACAGTATTCCTTGTGGACAATCGCGTATGTAGATTCCCGTAGATTGTGGATTCAGCTACTTTCAAAGTTATTCATTTTGTTTTCAGACCACGGACCTTCTCTCTCAGCTACGGAAGGTCAAACATGTCATGCTGGAACCACGTTCCTCGGTCGGTTTGGATTCTTGGCTAGCTGAATTTTATGCAGCTGTCGATCAATCCGTCATGTCGCTGTCACGAAGTCCACGACGCCCAATTAGTACATCCTCGGCTGCCAGTCAGTACCATTCGCATTCCTCCCAGATTACCGGGGCTTTGGTATTGGCTGTATGTCGTGGGAAGGTCAGTGAAGGTTTAGACTTTGCAGATGCCTACGGTCGACTTGTTATCGCCGTGGGTATTCCGTATCCGGCCTTCAATAACCCACAAGTAAGCAATAATTGGGGCCAAAAACTTTTTCCGAAATCTAGCAGTTCATTTTGCTAGTTTTATCGGGGTGATTCAGACTTATGACTCCTCAACACCTGTGGTTTCCCTAATCAGAAGCCTAACAGGCTTTAAATCAGTATTGCGAATATGTTTGTTTTGTATCTCACTGTCTCACCGGTTCAAGGAGATTATCACATCAGAAATGGTCATCTTAAGAACGCATCATTTGCACTCATGAGGGTATATGCAGTTATAATGGGCAGTGATATATTCTAAGCTGTGCGAGCACCTCTTGGGTCGATGTGTCTTGAGGCTAAGGCACAAACTTACTGACCGGATGGTTCATGGTTCGAACTAAACATCATCATCTCGAATACTTCCATCTGGACTCGGGTAACCCGGCGATATCTCATCGTGCTTCCGGTCGATGTGTCTTGAGGCTAAGGCACAAACTTACTGACCGGATGGTTCATGGTTCGAACTAAACATCATCATCTCGAATACTTCCATCTGGACTCGGGTAACCCGGCGATATCTCAGCCCTCGTGCTTCCTGCAGGTGGCATGGCATCTCGACACCGAACGACCCCTGCTTCCAGGCTGTTAGAATATCCATGACTTTTCCTGAACCAAGTTGGTACATCAGTTATTATGATACGACGTCACACGGAAAATTGACCCTACACCTGTGCTTAATGAAAATAACTAAATGTGGCTTATTTCGGATCCGATCTTCCCTAGGAAGGGCGACTGTTCTTACTAGTGAAGTTTCCAGTGGCCCCATCAGTTATACCGCTTCAGTCAGCTGACACGAGAAACAGGTTGAAACAGGATTGAAATCATCAACAGGTGTGGTCGTACATCCGCCGAACACATCTCACTCTTGTGGGACCGTATTCTTTGCTGATCGGAGCTAATTTATCGGCATTTGTTTTTTGAGCGGTTTTTTTTTGACAGAAAGAAACTGCACCAACTAAAATGTGAAGCGGCTTTTTTGCAACACATTTGGTTGGAGAGTAGCATAAACGGGAGATTCAACCAGCTTTTGACCAAAGGATGTCGTCGGGATTAGTCACGCGATTGTCAGCTTGCACTCTAAGAAGTGAGGAGGACGTTGCAGTCCGAACCTCCAATCACACACTCCAACCCTGAACTACCTTTAGTTCTCAAAACTGACGGATCGAACCATGGAGTTGGTACAGTCATTGTTCACACATTCCCTGATGGCACTTAAAAGGCGACCGCTCACGCTGCAAGGTCGCTGGCTCCAGTTGAACGAAATTACAGCCAGATTGAGAGAGAAGCGCTAGCCATCATTTTGGGATGAGAAACTTCCACAGAATGCTTTACTGACGACACTTCACGAACCACTACTGGCTATATTCGGTTCCAAGAAAGGTATCCCGGTCTACACAGCCAACCGTATAAAACGATGGGTCACGATTCTGCTGGGCTACAACTTCACCAGAAAGTATGTTTCAACCGAGAAAATTGGACAGGCTGATGCGCTAACGCGCTTCATTGCTTCCTTGGCACCAGGAGGCACCGTCATAGCGACCATTGCCGTCAAACCGGAATTCCGTGCTGTGGTGTTGGAGACCATGAACCAACTACCCGTGACTTTTGACGCGGTCCGAGATGCTACCAACAAATGACAACATACTACGGAAGGCAATGGAGTACCACCAATCCAGCTAGCCAACAACCGTGTCCATCAGAGGAACTCCGGAGTTCATTATCTGTTTTCAGTGTCTATCTTCTCTTTGGTGACCGAATCGTCATTCCCACCGAACTTCACCGCCGGGTCCTAGCACAGTTCCACAAGAACATCCATGTATAAGCCGCATGAAGGCCCTTGCTCGCAGCTATGTTATTGGCTCGGTATGGATGAGCAATGGAGCAGGTATGTCGGAGTTGTTCCCGTTACGCAGCTGCCTAGAGGTTACCAAACCGACTTCGCCACAGCCAGAAGAACTATGGTCGCACATCCATGTGGATTTTGCCGAACCAATTAACGGACAAAGCTTCCTCGTCGTTATCCGTTCATTCAGTAAGTGGCCTGAAATCCTTATTATGTTCGAGACAACAACGATGGCGAACAGCACCAAACTGCGGCACTCGGTATCCCAGAAACTGTAGTACTCAGTCTACATCCCATCAGTTTAGCGAATTCGTTCGAAGACATGGCATCACACATGTACATCCCAACCATTCCACCCCCAATCCAACGGTCATGCTGAACGGTTCGTTCACACTTTTAAACGTGCTTTGGCAAAAGCAAAAGCGGCGGGGACCACGACATAAGTGCTGGATACGTTCCTGATGAACTATAGAGCAACCCCTAATCCACAGTCTCCGGACGGTCGCTCTCCAGCAGAGGTTATAATGAACAGACGGTTGAGACTACCCATGACGCTATCCTACCAACGCTTACATGTTTTCAATCACCGACAGGAGGGAAACCATCGTTCAGGCCTGGAAACGTTGTGCTTGTGAGGGACTACCTCCCCGGGCACCGAAGATGGGGTTGTTCTCAAAAGAATCGGTTAGGCGATTTACAGCGTCCAGGTTTGGTCATTGATATGGAAACTACATATCAATCAGTAGCGGCTGACTGGGTGCCAGAAGAACATCTACAAGACCCAACCTGATGCTTGAAACCTTTGATATCCCAAGACCAGCACCTATAGCCACTGCATCACATGTACCACCCATTGCTGCAACCAAGATGCCGTACCAATTGCGCTAAAAAACAGGTGAAACCTTTACAACTTGATCCGCGTCGACAATCTTACGTCGGAAGATCAAAAGGGGGAGGCATCAGGAAGATCAGATTCCTGAAAGTAACCAATGGATGCCCGAAATTTACTGAGACCCTCAGCTGCACTAGATGCTGATCAGACAGACAACGCCTCCTCAATACGCAGGGCGTGACAGCCTTGTATCAAAGCCAGAAAGCGCGAGATAGCGTTGGGCCAAGGTCAGACAATGCCTCTCCAATAAAATAGCTTGAGACCGTCGTATTTTCACACTCGCGCACTCGCATTCGCTTGTTCGCAATAAAGCTGTTGTGTTCCTTGTCAGTGAGTCTTTTCCCGGCACTAAACAATGGAGCGGGAATCAGCAGATAGATATAACACCCATGAAAACCAAATTGATTAGCAAACGGGTGTATTTGTCGAAATCAGTTCAATTTGGATTCAAGTAAAACATCAGGTTGACGAAAACTTGGGAACTTCGTCTACATGATGAGTGAAACCAGTAAAGTGCTGTCAAAGAGTTTTCAGCTACCTTATAAGTAGTTTCCTTTATAAAAAAATATACTGCGATATCTCGAACATCGTACCAACTGAAACATGAGACTGTGCAGCACACTCAGTTGAATAATATCATAAACTAGAGATTCCGTTGAGTCTCCGGTGGAAAACAAATAGATTCGCAATTGAGTTTATTTGTCGAAGTCTAATTGGTTTCTTTTTTACTTCACATTTTCATCTTCAGTAGAATACGCTTCATTCCAAATGAAATGTTGTGCTCAAAGTTTATCCCCTTTGTTTTCATACTGATTGTGGTTATTCTCTAGGATAATGTTTGCTAATTCGGGAAACAAGTCGAATCTGCCGGTTTTTGAATACAGTCAGCGACTAAACCGAAAGTCGATACATTGCTAAGAGCTAGAAATGTGATTCCGCGCACACTGTGTAGAGATATAGGAGTTTATCCTGTCATCCTCTTCTTATAGGTCCAGCAGAAGCGCGAGTTCAACGATCGTGCTAATAAATCCGCGGGCACTTTACCTACTTCTCCCAAGATGGGTTCACCTACGAACGCTTCTTCTTCCACGCCTCCACTATCCAATCCACGAATCACTCGTGTACTGACGGGTTCAGAATGGTACGATGCACAGGCATATCGTGCTCTCAACCAGGCCTTAGGGCGCTGTATTCGGCATCTGAATGATTGGGGTGCCATACTCCTCGTGGACGCTCGATTTGTGGAACAACCTTCCAGATACTTGGCTGGAATCAGTCGATGGATCCGTTCGCGGTAAGTGGTTTGATCAATAGAGCTCTCCGTGGTTGTAATTTGCTATGAAAAAGTGTTTGAGTTTATCTTCTTTTCCTCAAACTTTAACCACCTTCAAACTTACGACACCAATAGCGATTACTTTTATGTGTAAGTGTCTTATTTTCCTTAGGTTTCCCGTATTACCTCTAACTTACACCCTATCCGCTTATTTTGACAGCGCTACTTTGCACACCCAGTGGTCCACTCTCGCTTCGGATTTGGAACAGTTTGTTGCCAGTCACCAGGCTGTGATGAAAGTCGAAGCTGAAGCAAATGAACTTCATGAAATCTTTGACTAGTGGGCTTCCCAACCGAATCTGTCATGACGCCCTTTCTAGGCACTGTCCCCCCTGTCAGATAGGTGACTTATTGATACAGAGTACCTTCAAATCGCCGGTGTTTTTTATACAAGATGTTTTTTCACATCTGGTCTTCCTTACCCCGTCTTGGGTTGAGTCGTTCGTCATATAGTGTGGTAAAGTCACTTAATTTTAGTTTTCTCCATTTTCGTTCAACTTAAACTTCTCAGCATACGTTATTCAAGGCAGCTATTCATCGTACGGGTGACCATATTTGATTTTGTTTTCGCACAACTGGCACAAATTAAGCGCGGGACGCTGTTAAGGCCACTTAGTTTGTCTAATCAACACTTGTCTCTGACCCCCACCAGATGTACGTGTTGGCTACTGATTTAAAGACTGATCCTCCTGCTTTACACTTTTAGTGTTTTCGCTCGTAATTCGCATTAGTGAGCCGCTCTACGTGTGAGATACCTAAATATCCTCTCGAAGGACAGCTCGCAGTTCTCATTATCATTGATGGCTCGGGAGGGTATGCATAATTATATGAATACTGAGGTAGGCAGCATAGGCGCTGCGTGGAACCTTACTTTATTTACGACGTAGTAGACAATTTTCGGTGACCTTTCTGAGTAGGTTACCAAGAAAACCAGGTGCTTACAACCTTCTGCGAAGCGGAAGCAGCTGAGGGCTGGAACTAACTAACTTCCCCCTTGGGGAAAGAGCACAACCAGGGGACGGGGCGTTTTAAAAACAGAGCGGTCTGTTCACTGCAGTAGGAATGTGTTCATTAAGCATGAAGCAGTTGCTCGGATAACGACAGAGTGGACGTGCGGCCGAGTCCGATATTTTTCAGAATGTTGTACCCACCGGTAGATGCTGTTAAACTGGTGCAAGGCCGCACTTCAGGCTGTCGAAAGACACTGCTCCATGCACTGATGGTCATTGGTCAGCGCTGGTCGCCATCATATGTTGCTGTCCAACTTCCAGTGTCGTCAAACAGTGAAACCATACGCACTGGAGAATCATATGTGGCCTAGTTTGTAAACGAGGAGTGCTGTGGAGCCTCAAAAAATTAAATTTACACAATTGCAGTGTGTGAGCTCAGGGGACTGTATTGACATATCAGGTAATCTATGGGTACCTAAGGATGGTATGTGAAGCTACTGCGGGCAAAGGAAGCTCGCATCTGCACGCTGATGCATCGTGTATCAAGAATGAACTCGCTTGGTGGCCTCTGACGGATATCGCCTTAGTAACAGTTACCGTACGAATGACTGCAATCAGGTCAAATGAGGGATAAAAAGTTTAGTACAAATCACCTGTCTGCTCTTTTTTACGACGACTTTCTGACTGATTGGATATGACTCAGGTCGAAGACTTTGTCACAAGCTCCTGAGAAGCCATATTGTCAACGGGTACTGTGGATAATGCAAAGTGGATACTTTGCTGTTGCTTCACAGCAACCTTAGAGCGGTTAATTTGCATGTGGCGTCTAGTCATCTCATGTGGCCAGAAGCAGCTGTAACGACCTACATTATCGAGAGGTTTGGGTTATTGCCACTAAAAGGCATGAGGGGTTTCCCTTTATGTACAGCTCTTGTTGCTCTGCAGTACACTAAGATTAACGAGGCGTATTTTGTACACGATTTTCGAGCACATTCATGAACATACAACTTATGTATTTGCACCAAAAATAGCTCTTATTGACAGGCCAGGCTAACGCACGCATTAGAACGTAAGTGGTTGTTGTATAAATTGATAGTGAGGCGAGCACAATTTTTGCAGTCATGGGAACTGATGAATTAACCGAAATTTTTGTTGGGTAAGTTAAACAGTTTAAGGCCTAAGCGGCGGTACACCATGAAGATAACGTCCCAACGGCGTGAAAATATGTTAGTCCGTAATTGGGTGCAATAATGCACCAACTTGTTACTAAGACTTCAAAGCGCGAAAGGTTGCTGGATCACTAGAGTGGGTGGTCCTATACTACTCGTTCGCACAGTGGCAAGGAAATTTTATGTAGGAAGGCAAATTAATCACTCGTTAGAACTAGTTTTGTTGAATTTAACTGTATCCGGATAACTGATTTTCGTGACCGGCCAACGGAGTAACAAAAACCTATATGTAACACTAAATTAGAAGTCCCCAAGCTGGACGACTCAGATACTTTGATTATTAACAAGCAATGCTGGTAGGAGCACTCTTCATTATCAATAATCTACATAAAATAGAGTACTATTGCTTTTCGGCCGTTGTTTCAGTAAAGTGTACATTCTGTAAGTTCCTTTGGTGTCTTTCACGAGGCGGTTAGCTGAATTTCGCTTTTGGTTCATTCAGCGGCGGGACATCCTGTCAATTTTCACAACCATCAACTACTGAACTGGTATCGAAATCAAACCAAATGTGCACGGTGCAACATCAACAATCTCACTTGCCTTAAACGAGCAACGATTGTATCCACATGCCTCTGCGAACTCTCAGAGGGCGGCTGGAGGACAGTCAGTTACCAACTTTACTCCGTTCACTCTATAGGAAGTGGATGTCTCCCCAGAAATCCTTTCTATAATTTTTCTTGTTCCTATGACGCAAGTGTTTCGGGACTTCACTACTGAGTCGATAATAATGTATGATCGCCGTTCGATTTTGTGCGGCGGGTTGTAGAAAACCTCATTCGTACATTACAGTCTCCACAAAATTCCACCTAATTTCCTCGATTTCAGTAAGCCAACTTTGTGGCCACGTCCCAGAGATTACACCTCAGCACAGTTCCCACAATTAAACATTTGAATTTCCTTAAGGCATCCGCGCTGAGACTCCCTGTGCCCCGAAGTGGAATTCGCAGTCCCAGCAGGGAGTTTGAAATTGCCACCATGATATTACCGCTTTCGGCTTTCCCGTACCCCATACAGCCAAACTTATAATCCGTTACATTCTGCGGTGCGCCAACAACTTGGGTCATGAGAGCATTGTTGCAATCCTATTGTCAACGCAAAGAAAGCTAGGAGAAAACCGACTAAAACCCAAAATTGACCCTTATCTTCAACGGAAATCTATACAGTGTTGTCTTCCGTCCAAATTAGCATATGGCTTGGTTGGTCGAAACCACGCATCTTTCAGAGAGGGGAGAAGGTCGTGTCAATCATCTAACAGTTTTGCCACTGTCCCTGTTTATTACGTGTTTATGAACTGGCGTTTGTTTTTCCCTACCACTTCATGCATTTGAACTTGAGGTCATCCAGCCATTTCATGGCTGACTTTATGCACGTGTGACCCGTCTCACCTGAGAGTCTGTCTGCTCATTTGGTTCGTACATTTGCTGTCCAAGTGGAACATTTGTTGTGAACGAGTGTCTACTCTCGAGGTCTGTGTTTTGTGCAGTGACGTATTACGTTAGTCATGCCAAATAGAAACCCAGTTCCGACCTTGCCTGACCCTCCAGAAGGTCCTGGTAATAAGCGTCACTCATTTGTCGTTACATTACTCGACAGGTCAACTAAATGGAGCAAACTGATGGCATGCACCCACTATGACTTGGTTTGCCCGTTGGGTGGAGCTACGTAAAGTTGTGACATGGATACTGCGTTACAGGCAATGCCTACTGAATAAGGCGGGTGGGGCAAGGAAAGAGACGCCACCTTCCGGTGTTACCAGAGTATTCGAACTCCATCAAGCACGTAATAGTTCGATGGAAATCGCGCAATCCGGTCGCTTTGCACACGAGTTACATCAGGCTGACGCATGTGTAGTGGATGCGAAGCGTCCTAGCAGTAGAGTTAAAAACGGCAACTTACGAAGTCTTTCACCTGTTTTGATCGATGGCGCGTTGCACGTAAGTGGCGGTTTTTCTTATTTTTCTTGTACCAAATAACTTAGGTAATTCACTGAACAGAATTATATTCTACATAAATTTGGGATCCTTATTGCATCCATACGTTTAAGGAATCAAATTGGAGATTTTGCCACATTTGACTGCGTTCAGTGGTATAAAACAAAACCATCATTCATCGCCATTTTCAGATTGGTTAGCAAAGTTATTAATAAAGTACACGTTATTATCTCTGTGCTGTGAGTGCGCGGCCAACACGCTGATTTCAGGTTTGCTGTCTTGCCCAGTGCGCCAAAATGCTTGTTAACTGGCAGCAATCTGCTATAAACTGGAATAAACTAGTTACCATTGTACTTGTACAATAAAACAAATCAGTCGCGAAATATTTTTTTGCATTGAAACAAGAGTCACCGAGAAGTTCGCAGGGATTAGGAGTCCTTGCGTGGACGAAATCGTTCACCCTTTGTGCGTTATCACCCAAGTCATGGCGTGTGCAAATTATATGCGGAGCTTTGTGCACCGTACTCGAGCTTTACAGCCAAAAGAAGTTGATCAACCAAGGAGAGTGATTAGACTGCCAATTCTTTCTCACCAAGCCGAGAATCCATTTTTTACACTTCCTAACATCTGTAGAATGTAGACGGAATATTCGCTTCGTCGCGAGGCAACGTTAGAGATCACAAATCTAGTTTTTGCGCACGTTACACAGCGCTCTCCAGCAATTCACTCAACATGCCCTTAATGTTCTCCCTTGTGCCCAGCATATGATTATTATCCGCATGGAAAAAGAAGTTTATGAGTTTTCGAGATCGCGTAACCTAGCCGCAGACTTCAGGCATAGTTTATGCGACTCAGTTTTGTAGACAGGCGTTTGTTCCCGGAGTCCGATTTTCAACTTAACAGTGGATGCTGCCATCGATGGTGCACAACCCACCCCCCAGTAATGGCCGTACGTCATGCTGTTTTTCCTTCTTATGCAAAATACGCCTTTTGTGTCGCCGTTGCATTCAGATGTTCACGTTTACCAATGGCCCTTATGTAAACGTTATATGAGGAGCACAATGCTGATGTATATCGTGTTTATGATCCCTTAAGGATTATTTTTACGCTGACATTCAGCTGTTGTGTTTGTTTCTATGAGATGGTGCATTATTCAGGGTTTTCATACAGT